CTGGGAAGGCTCTGCAGGTGGTGGCTAGGAGCACAGGTTAGGGACCTGAGTTCCTCTGTGACCTTGGGGAAATTACTGCACTGCCCACCTCTCTGGAATGAGAACAGGGATGGTTCCAGCCCTGTGGCGTTGTTGTGAGGATAACATGAGCTAATGTCCCTGCGACACCTACCACAGTGTCTGGCAATCAGTGGGCACTCCGTAATTCCCAGCTGTAATTTTCCCCCGAGACCCATCCTGTTCTGCCCTCCGCTGGTTCGGAACGGTTTCATAGACAGACTCGCAAGCTGCGAAGTTGTGGGTGTCAGAGGTGTGGGCCGGAGGCCTCTCCCACCTCCCACGGAACCCCGAGGGAAGCAGCAGAAATGTGGGTTTAGGTGGAAATCTCAGACTTTGGAGCCATTGTGAGGAGAGCAGCACCATCCATAGTAATTTGGCTTTGCTCTGTTAACTTTAGGGTCTTGTAGCTACCGATTCCTCTCCAGCTGGGGCCTGGGAAATGGCAGCTGCTGCTGACACAGCCTTGAAGACAGCCACTTGCCTGCTCAGCACCGTTACTTAGAAGATAGGAATCAAGAGGTAAATGGAGGTCACCGATGGGCTTCGATCCATCTATCCATCCATCCATCAGACACTCATCTGTCTACTTACCTGTCCCTCTCCCCTCCAGCCTCTCCTTAACCCGCTGTCAGCCTAGCTCCACGCACCCCCTATCCATCTGCCATCCACCCACCTGTGCACTCACCTACCCAGCGCATCCAGCCGTCTTTCCTTCCACGTATTCACCCATTTCCCGGCCAGTCACCCACCATCCCAGCCACTCATCCGTGCACCCAAATACCACTGTGTCCTTCCATCCACCACCCATCCATCTGGCCGTCCATCTGTCTGCTCATCTGCTTGCCCGCCCACCCGTCCATCTCTTCATCCAGCCACTAAGCCATCCACCCAAGTCATTGAATTATTTTCTGTCCGCCGAACCCGTCCATCTTCCTGGCTACCACCCAACCGCCCATCCACCCATCAGTCCCGTGTATTCATCATGTCCCTGACCGCCCACCTGTGCACCTGTCTTTCACCTCATACAACGGTCCATCGTGTTCCTCATCCATCTGCTTCTCTGCTGTGCATTTCCTCCTCCCTTCATCTGGTTGGTGAGTGTTTCCTCTGAGCCAGGCCTGCTCCAGCCTCTCTGGGCCTCTGAGGTTGGCCAGCCATGTGGCCTGGGCCAGGGCAACTCTCACACCAGGTAGAGGGTGGCTTCCGGCCGTAACAGGAAGAACCTGGGGCCGGAGGATCCGAAAAGGTTCTGCGGTTCCGCTGACCCCTGACAGATGGGAGGAGTCTTAAGATTCCCTTTAGCTGTGATCTGGGGGTCGGAGAACGTGGGGCAGAGGGGCACCACAGCATAAGCCATTAGAGGCCTGCTGGTGTGTCCAGACAGGAGTGGCCTGGACTGGAGGGAGGATGTAGGTGATTAGATGGCGGACAGCTTTGAGAAATCAGGAGTCAAACCACACAGGACCTGCTGAGGGAGTGGGTATGGAGGCTGGAGGAGAGAGGAGACCAGGCTTCCTGCTCAGACAACTGGGGAAGTGATCAGGTTGCCAGATGACCCTAGGAGGAGGGACAGGAGAAGGGGGAGGGGGAGAAGGAGGTAGGAGGAGCAGGAGAAAGGGGGAGAATAAGGATGAGAAGGGGCAGGAGGAAGGGGAGGGGAGGAGGGCGAAGGAAAAAAGGAGGAGGAGGGGGAGGGGAGAGGAGGGGGAGGAGGAGGAGGGGGAACATGAGGGGGAGGAGGAGGGGAACAGGAGGAGGGAAGAGGTTTGGGAGAAGAGGAGGAGCCCCACTGGCCAGTGGTGCTGGGGGACTTCTGGGAGAGGAGGCTTGGGTCTGGGGAGTCAGTGTAGACCAGGCACCCAGAGTACGCTTGTCGGGGGCAGGGAGCTGCCCTCTCCGGGAAGCCTGCTCTGGGAGCACTTGTTCCCTAGCCCTTCTGATGGGGGAGCCGAGAGTGGGCCTGCAGCCAGAGAGAGCTTTCGGGCTAAAAGCCTAGTATCAGTGGTTGGAAATGGAGCAGGCAGGCCCTGAGGTGGTGAGGGCCCGGGGTGCAGGGGGAGCAGTGACCATCTCCACTGTCCTACTAGTCTGGCTCTTTCTCTCCTTGCACCCAGCATGGGTTTGGCCCAGAAAACCTGCACTGTGTAGACTCTGAATGTGTGTAGGCCGTGGTGTGCACTGCAGGCAAAGGCGGTCTGTGCTCTGGGGAGGGGAAGGGAATCTGGCCTGGAAAGGGCCAAGGAGATGGTCGTCTTCTTCCCCAGTGTGAGAATGGAAACAGTGCTCCCAGCCCTCCGGCTCCCCTCCACGCCATCCTCGGCCTCCTCTAGGACCCCTGGGTACCCCCCTCGCTCCCTGGCACCGCCCGCCACCCCAGCAGGCACTAGGCCCTGGCTGTGCATTCCCTGCCCCCGCCTGGCCCTAGCTCTCACTTCCGGTGTGACAGAGTCCCAGAGCCCTGCTCAGACCCTCAGTCTCCTTGCCTGCAACTTGCAGATTGGATTCATCAAGCTCTCTCGCTAAAGATGTCAGCGGTTCCTAGAGTAGGAGAGTTGCAGAGGCTGTCCTGGAACACGGGGGAGGTGGTGGCAGCTGCCCGCAGGACACGCGCTGGCTGTCCTGGAACCACGGGGTCTCCGAGGAGTTTTTTTTCCCATCGTAGGCTTTGATCACAAGGTAGTGAGTGCCCCATCCCCGGACGTTCCAAGCATGGCCCTGGGTCAGGGGTGCCCATGAGGGGCTCACCTCTGCTTTCAGTGCCGAGATTCGGGCTGTCTGTCTTACTGGCACACGGTTCGGGGCCTGAAGGACTGAGACGGGAACTCAGTGTCAGGCTTGCGGTCTGACCCTGGGGCCTGGGGGCGACGGGGGTTGGTTTCTCTCCCACCTTCTAGACTGGGAACTTGCTGCTTAGGAGCCATGTGACCCTGGGCAAGTGACTCAGTCTGAGCTTCAGTTTCTTCATCTGGAAAATGGGGATAATAGTCATAAGGTTGTTGCAGGGATTAAGTGAGGTCACTGGGGCTCCTTGAACTGGGCCAGGCACGCAGAGAGCGCACAGCGGGCACTGGTCAGTGCGCTCCTGCCTCCGAAGCGCTCCGGCCAGCGGAAAGGCCTGGGGTGGGGGGGAGCTTCACCTCCTCCCGCTCTTGTAGCTAGTGCTTTCTTGACATCTGAGACTGGGGCCCCTGCCTTGCCCTCTTTCTCTGCCGGATGTTGCCGAAACCTGAGGTGCCCAGAGCCTCAGGGGACAGGCCATGGGGTGTCCTGCTCCATCCGGAGGCACCTTCCGGTGACTTCTGGGCCCCCCCCTTTGGGTCATGTGGTTGCTGCCTCTCTAAAAGCTCCCAGCCCAGGTCCTGTTGAGCTCCAAACGCCCCAGTGGCTGGGAGTCTGTCTGTGTCCACAGAGCTGTGGCCAGCAGAGAAGTGGGCTCAAGAGACAGCAGGGCTGGGGACAGCTTCTCCATCTCCCGGAGGAGTCTGGGTCTGCGCACTGCACCGTCCCCTTCTCTGCCTGCTGGACTTGCCTCGCTACCCACCTTCAGTGTCGAAGTCACCTCGTCTAGCTCAGGTAGCTCACCCAGGGGCCTCTCTCCCGCTTCCCTCCAGACAACGCCTCGGGTCCCCACTGGCCGACCTGGGCGTCTACCAACAGTGATCCTAACCCTTGCCTTTACTGTCTCATCCAAGCCCACGAACTGCTTTGTGACCTGGGACAGGTCTCAGCCTCAGTTCTCGAATCTATGAAATGGGGAGCTGGTCTCCTTACTTGCTGAGGCCTCTTGTAGCAAAACAAATCTAATAACATTTCTTTTCTGATCTAACTGTATGCATCCACTGAGCAAGAGTGTAGGCAACCGGCCTACATATCCCTGGTTGGGGACGTTGTCCCACATTTCTTAAATCGAGTCTTTAAAGATCTCAAGGCTGCATGACCTTCTTGCCACACCTGTGTTTGCCTATGTGGAGTGTCCTTGGGATGATTGTCAAGTTTGTGGTGCTGGGGTTTTTACTCATGGGTCCTCTTCTGGATATTTCTTTGTGGAGCTGCATTCACCAAGAGCCTGGGAGGGACTCCCCACACCCCTAGCATCACATGCACACATACACGCACACACGTACATGCATACATATACACACATGGCAGGACGGGACCATGGAAACCTGAGGACTGGACCAAAACCTGGAGCTCCAACTCTGTCTCTAAACCTTAGTTTCTGGGTGACTGCTCATAGTCTCAGTTGCTAGCTGAGAAACAAGGGAGTAAGTGTGAACGTGAACCTGTTGATTTTCTGTGTGGTTTGAGGGGGAACATCAACAGAAGAGGGGTTTCCCAAACTTGCGTGACACAGTCTGGGTGGGTCCCAGGTGCCCAGCCCAGGGAGAAACACCAGGAGTCACTGCAGTTCCCATCCCGGCCTGGGAGCTGGCCAGGTGTGGGGATCCCTAGCTGATGGGAGCAGAGCGCCAGGCTGGGCTCTCTGGCCTTTGATTCTTCTGATTCTCTCCCTTGCAGGACTCGAGCTGCTCAGAGCCCCAGTTGGAGCAGCCATGACCCACTGGACGTCCCTCCAGGCATCCAGGCCACATAAACTTGCCCCCTGAGGTCCAGTGGCCTGCCGCCAGCATCTAAGTACCCGGTCCCTGGCCTCCTCCACCTGGAGGGCCCAGGAATCTGGGGTCAAGCCATCTTCTCGGCGCAGTACCGGGGGTCCCCACCACCCCCGGCTCCCTGCCTCCTGGCCCAGGCAGAAGCAGCGTCCACCATCACAGCCCCAGGCCTCAGCTCCTCAGACCTATGGTGAGGTGGTCAGCTGGAGTAGCTGCGGGGGGTGGTGGCAGTGTGAGAAGAGGCCTCCGCAGAGCCTGATGTGCCCACGGCAGGAGACCTCGCATTAGCTAGACTGGTTCAAATTTCCGTTCTCCTGCTTATAGGCTGTGTGGCTTTGGGGAAGTCACTTAACCTCTCTGAATCTCCATTCATGGTAGAGCAATGATGGCAGCCACCTTCTTGGGGTTTTGCAAGGATAATCTAAGACCATTTGCTAATGTGTCTGGCCTGCTTTCTCTGCAGTTTGAGGAGTGGGCAGTAAGGGCTGTGAGTGTTACATACGAGCCTGCTCTGGGGATTCAGAAGCATCTGGTAACGGAGACAGACCCTAGGAGGGATGTGCAGCCTGGCTGCTCATGTGGACTTCTCCCTCACCTGTCTCCCAGGTGTTCGAAGCAGAGGTCAGATGTTGTGCTCCCTCCGAGGCCCTAGCTGTACCTGGCCACACAGACAGGGGCTAAATCCCAGTGTTGCCTCCCTCTGGCTGTGTCGCTTCCAGTTTCTGGGTTTCTGGTGGGTGCTCGGCCACCTGCCTCTGCTTCTGGACCAGCAGCCCTGGGACCTTCTTATCTGGGGCCTCATTGTCTTCTGGGCACTTGAGGGCTCCCAGCCTTGTCTAACACTGGCCTCCCGGTGTGATCAGGTGGGGATTTGGGGTGGATGGGGTCCCCAGTGGTGGAGAAGAGTATGCCCGACTCAGCGTCCTGGCCAGGCCAGCCGGCCAGGGTTCTCCCCCTCCTTCCAGCTCAGCCCTGCTGAGCCAGGCTGAGGGCCTGAGCACCTGCAGCCCTGACGCTAAGGGCTAGATGGCCTCAGTGCCCACAGGTCCAGGCGGCACCATGGCCTCTGGCCTACAGGTGCCTCGGCCTGGCACCAACAGGCCAGCCTGGAGCCAGCGAGGCCCTGGGGGAGGGGCCGCTGCCAGCCCATCTGGGGGCTGAACGTGGGGTATATGGGCCTGAAGCAGTGTGTCCGGCTACAGGTGTCATGCCGTGGGACATGCCTGAGACAGCTTGGTGTGCGTACGTGTGTGTGTTTGTGTGTGTGTGCGACAAGCCCACCAAGGGCTCCCCTGAATGGGCCAAGGACAGTGGCGCTCTGAGTGTTCCCTAGATGCTGTCATTTAGAGCTGAGAAAGACAGTGATGGGAAGGCCACTGGGATGGGGTCAGTCAGTGACGCTTGTGGGCACTGACCCGTGGACCCCCTCCTAGTTACGGATGGAGGCTGTGGTATATGGGTGCTCAGAGTGGGTGCCGTGGGGCACAGGGTTCGAGCATCAGGAGGGCATCCTTGGGGCCAGGCTCTGCTCGAGGCCCGGTGGGTAAGACAGCAGTGAACCACACAGCAAACTCACCATGCTCGGGAGGCCAGTGGTCTCACAGTGGGATCGGTGGGTGAGTGCAACCCCAGGCCTGTCCTTCCCGTTACTGTTACTACTGTTACGGTGTCAGAGGCCAGTGCTTTGGGGTTACCATGAGGACCTGTGTGAGGGGTTACAGTCTCCCATGGGTTCAGGAAGCTGCTCCTGGGCATGGAGGCCAGGGACTGAGAGAGGTAAGGCAGCGGGAGGGGGTGTCTGGGCCGAGAGTGTAAGGGACCATCCTGAGGAGCAATGCACAGGCTGTGAGCAGCAGCGAGTGAGCGAGGAGCCTGTACCTGAGAGCTGAGGGGCCCCAGACTCCATTCACGCAGGCCTCGCAGGTGCCAGCAGAGACCGGCTTTGAGCAGAGGACAGCCAGGCTCCCCCACTGCCTCTGGACTGGGGTGGGGGCCGGAGCACAAAGGCTGGTGAGGCGGCCGCCGTGCTGGTCTGGGTACGTGATGATGGGGACTCAGGCCACGGTGGTGGGAGAAGAGGTAGGATTGTTAATACACTTTGGAAGCGGAGCCTTTGGTAGGGGGCACTCAGATGGGCTGAGGATGAAGCCAAGGCTTTTGGCCAGAGCTCCTGGGAGGCTCCAGGTCTGTTTTCCAAGCTGAGAAGGAGGGTGGGTGGTTGGCTGAGGAGGGAAGATGGAGAGCTCAGTGGGGGGTGAGTTAGGGCGCAGACGGCCACCCGCCAAGGCCGAGGGCCCCGGGTGGGGACAGAAGCCTGGGCCGGGCTGGCCTGTTCCGCCAGCCCCTCTGTCTTCTCTGTTGCAGGAGCCGCCCACCGTGGAGCCGGCCTGGGGGTGAGCCACGGCCCCCCCATCCCCGGGATGACCTCGGCCGGCAGGGCCAACCCCTACAGTATCGTGTCATCAGAGGAGGACGGGCTGCACCTGGTCACCATGTCGGGGGCCAACGGCTTCGGCAACGGCAAGGTGCACACGCGGCGCCGGTGCCGGAACCGCTTCGTCAAGAAGAACGGCCAGTGCAACATCGAGTTCGCCAACATGGATGAGAAGTCGCAGCGCTACCTGGCCGACATGTTCACCACCTGCGTGGACATCCGCTGGCGCTACATGCTGCTCATCTTCTCGCTGGCCTTCCTCGCCTCCTGGCTCCTGTTCGGCGTCATCTTTTGGGTCATCGCCGTGGCGCACGGCGACCTGGAGCCGGCCGAGGGCCGTGGCCGCACGCCCTGCGTGATGCAGGTGCACGGCTTCATGGCGGCCTTCCTCTTCTCCATCGAGACGCAGACCACCATCGGCTACGGGCTGCGCTGTGTGACGGAGGAGTGCCCGGTGGCCGTGTTCATGGTGGTGGCGCAGTCCATCGTGGGCTGCATCATCGACTCCTTCATGATCGGCGCCATCATGGCCAAGATGGCTCGGCCCAAGAAGCGTGCGCAGACGCTGCTGTTCAGCCACAACGCGGTGGTGGCCCTGCGCGACGGCAAGCTCTGCCTCATGTGGCGCGTGGGCAACCTGCGCAAGAGCCACATCGTGGAGGCGCACGTGCGGGCCCAGCTCATCAAGCCGCGGGTCACCGAGGAGGGCGAGTACATCCCGCTGGACCAGATCGACATCGACGTCGGCTTTGACAAGGGCCTCGACCGCATCTTCCTCGTGTCCCCCATTACCATCCTGCATGAGATCGACGAGGCCAGCCCGCTGTTTGGTATCAGCCGGCAGGACTTGGAGACGGATGACTTCGAGATTGTGGTCATCCTGGAGGGCATGGTGGAGGCCACGGCCATGACCACGCAGGCCCGCAGCTCCTACCTGGCCAACGAGATCCTGTGGGGCCACCGCTTTGAGCCTGTCCTCTTTGAGGAGAAGAACCAGTACAAGATCGACTACTCCCACTTCCATAAGACCTACGAGGTGCCCTCCACACCCCGCTGCAGCGCCAAGGACCTGGTGGAGAACAAATTCCTGCTGCCCAGTGCCAACTCCTTCTGTTACGAGAACGAGCTGGCTTTCCTGAGCCGTGATGAGGAGGACGAGGCAGATGGAGACCAGGATGGCCGCAGCCCCCAGGCCCGGCATGACTTTGACAGACCTCAGGCCGGTGGTGGCGGCCTTGAGCAGCGGCCTTACAGACGGGAGTCGGAGATCTGAGCCACCATGGGCCAAGGTGCAGCATCCGCCCCGCCAGGGAAAGGCCTGGTGTCCCTCGAGGGCCCTGGGTTTGAGCAGAACAGGCCAGGTGCCCCAGTTGCAGACTCAGTAGTGTTTTAGATGTTTTATGTTTCTTCACAGTGGACTGGGAAGGTTGGCGGGAGAATGGGTGACCAAAGCAGGCCGCCGCTGGCCTCAGAGGCCGGAGCAGGTGCAGGGAGGTAGCCTCTTGGGGTCTGGGCCAGGAGCCAGGGGCTTCTGTCTGAGGCTAGAACTGCGGCCTGCCCAGAGATGTCTCAGTGACCATCCAGCCTCTGTGGGTGAAGGTTGGCAGGCTGCAGGGCACCTCGCTGGTTTTTAACTTGGGGAGAAACACTGGTTTTGGCTTTCTCAACCATAGCTTGAGTAAGACTGCTTACAAAAAAAAAAAAAAATTAACACGTGATTGACAAAAAAATTTAATTTCTGGGGATTATAAAAATGGACAGTGAGAATTCCATTGGTCTGCCAAGATGCAGGCATTAGATGGGGGCTCCACGAGGTTCCCTGAGGCTGGACAGGCCTCTCCTCCGTGAAGGCCAAGTGTGTGCTGGGCGGCGCCATCCGCACGCGCAAGCGCGGCGCTCATCTGTGGTTCCTTCTGCTCACAGGCGGATTGGATGATGTTTGTGATGGAAAAACCAAGACCATGTTAATGATCATAATAAAAGCTTTCCAGAGTCACAGAGATGGGGGTAGGGGCTGGGAAAAAAACTAGTTTGAGCTCTTTTGTACCTTAGAGGTGCGTCTCAGGGCTGGATATGGGACCTGCCTGCCATGGAGGGTCCGCTCTCCCCACCCCCACCAGATTTTCCTGTTTTCCTTCTCTCCTTTTCTGCCCAATAGCCTCCACCCTTTCCACAGTGAGGGACGCTTGGAAAATGTTGGAGTAGATGGCTCCATGGGAAGGGAGAGAGGGTTCCCAGATGCCCAGGAAGCAGATTGGCCCTATTCCCATGGGACCCCAGTATGAGTCGTGCCTTAGGGACCCCAGGTAGACCAGCCCCAGTTGTTTCTGTTTTTCTCGGACTCACTGGTCCTCCCAGCTGCCCCTGATTCCACCATGAAGTCCGCACCAGCCTGTGTGTCTGCAGAGGTGGGCCGTCTTGGCCCGCTCTCCGCACTGGGGCAGCCTAGGTGAGTGCAGGGGCGTCCCAGCCAGGCTGTCCCTGCTGAAGGGCAGAGGAATGATCTTAGAAGAGGTGTGCAGTTGTCAGCCAAGATGACCGGGAGTGGCGCTTGCATCCAGGCAGCCTCATCAGGAAGAAGTTTGCATCTATTGGCTCTGCTGGCCCGGAAGCAGGCCCCTGGGCCACGGGCTGCCCAGCGTGGGCTTGTTCTTGGTAGAGGACACAGTTGGCGGGGATGGAGCGGGCCAGGTCCTTCCCAGGACAGCTAAGAATTCTGTCCTCTCGAATGATCAGGCCTGTAAGGAAGTCCTTAATTAGAAAGCCCGTATGTGTCTCCCTAGCCTGCCAGCCTCGGCCACCCCGAGCTGTGCTCTCCAAGACAGCTAGGCACCCAAGACCCTGGCCCAAGTGGGGAAACTGAGGCAGACTGCAAGGTCACGCAGTCGGTGGGTGGGTCTTGGGAGGCCGGGGGAGGCCAGGGGCCTGGGATGAGGGTTCTTGCCTCTCCCCTCCTCTTCTACCCATCCCCAGGGCAGCTGGAGACCTGGCCTGAGGTCGGAGGAGTTGGAGGGTCTGGGCATGAGCTATCGGTTCCCACCCATAGACACCCCGTGTCCGTGCCCTGAGGGATACCTGACTCCCAGCATCCTGCCCTAGCCTCAGGCCCCAGCCTCATTTCCTGCTGGGGTGCTTCAGGCCGCGGAGGTAGCTCTTTCCTCTCAGGATCTGCTGGAGGGGCCTCAGCTCCTTCCCAGCCCAGGGCCTGGCTTCCAGCCCTGAGCCTAGCTGGCTTTCTCCATTTCAGCTCTGGGGGGCAAGGGTAGAGTTGATATGGGAGGGCTCACCGGCCCGCCCCCTCCCAGACTGTCAGGCTGAACGGGGGAGGGATGAGATGGCCCNCCCCCTCCCAGACTGTCAGGCTGAACGGGGGAGGGATGAGATGGCCCCAGTCACTTGGGGCCGGCACAGGGGCCTGTGTTCTGCTCTGCCTGGCCGCAGGAGAGCCTTACAGGGCTGGGTGGGCAGGCTTCCACTGCTACCATCTGGAGCAGAGCCCAGAGCCTCTGGGTCCCCCAAGGCCCCTGCCACCTCAGTGGCTTGGTGTACCTCCTCTCAGGCCTGTCCTCCTCCCAGGCCCACGCTGGATGGTTCAGCCCCAGACCCTGTGGGAGAACAGCCCTGAGCTGCCTTTCATCTCTCGCCAAAGGCAGATGCTGCGTTTTCAAACTCTTCTGCCCTCTTTTTTTTTTTTCTTCCCTGTATTTATTTATTTATTTATTGCTTGTGCTAAAGACCAAAATAGTCTCCCTCTTTAGTGCACTTGAAACGGGAGGGTGGATGGGAGGAGCCATGTGTGTGCAGAGCAAGGATTCCGTTGTCCCTGGGGAGTATGTGCTGGAGGGGGTGTGTGTGTGCCTTTGTATGTGTGAGTGTGTGTGTGTGTGTGTGTGTGTGTGCGTGCATGTGTGCGTGTACGTGTGTGTGTGTGGAGAGCACCAACCCTCTGAGTGTTCCACATGCCATGTGTGGTGCGTGTGCCGAGCACAGGTGAGTGGGGAGCATTTGTGCACCTGGGTGTGTGTGTTGGGTGTGCGTGTGTGTGTGAGTGTACATGATGTCTGGTCTGTGTGCTGTGCAGGTGTGTCTAGCCATATACTCCCACCCTCACCCTCCCAGGCACTGGGATTTCCAAGAATTTTCTCGACAGCCAGAACCAGGAGGTGTGGAGGTTGGAGTGGGCCAAGAACGTGGCCTCTGGTGCCCTCCTCCCTGACACACTGAGCTGCTTACGTGGGAAAGGGGCTGTGCTGGCGGTGTGTGTGTGTGTGTGTGTGTGTGTGTGTGTGAGCACCAAGTGTGTGGCATCACATGCGCCATCATCTCATCTCTGTACAAGCGTATGTGTGCAAATACAGCTTTGCCTGAGTGCAGGAGCGTGTGGACCCACAGTTCGTGGGAGTGCTGTGCAGGTGTGTGCCCATGACGATCTCCCTGTGTGTGTGAGTCTGGGCTGACGACATATATG